TTGGGCCTCAAACTTGTAGTGATCCTCCTGCCTCAGCCACCTATATGCTGGGATTACGGGCATGCACCACCATGTCTGGCCATCTTTCCTCATTTCTTGATTCTCATTTATTTCACAACAGATCCTTACCCTGCTGCAATTAAGTGCAAAAGACTGTCCTCCATACCGAGGGGGGTACATACACAGTTGAAAAGGAAGGACTGTGCCCTGGGTCATTTATAATCAATTTAAACCAAGAAGTAGACAGGCTGTGCCCACAAATGACTAAACTAATATCAGATAACAGAGAGACTAACTGAGCTATTGGAGCACTAGGACAAGCCTTGGAGCTAGAACAACCAGGGAAATCTTTACAGAGAAGGTGCCATTTAAGTCAGGACTTAAGAGTGGATGTAATTTTGACTGGCAGAAATAGGTAGAAATTAGGCTGGCAGAAAGGTAGGGAAGACAGGTGGAAAAGAAGATATATGCTGCTGGAAGGGGGTTCTAGAAATGGGAATGCACAAAACCATCATTTTACTAAAATGCAGAATAGGTACTGAGGAACACAATATTATAGATATAAACTGGAGTCTAATTATATAAGACATTGAATTCCAGGTACAATTTTTTCATTCATCTTTAGACAGACCAGGTTAAACCACTCAAAAGGCATTCAAATCATAGATGCCAGACTCTGGCTTTATCCTGAAAAGATCTTTAAGTTACATCTGGACAAATTTTCCCATATGACTATGGCAACACAGATAGCTATCCTGGGTAAACTCGGCCCCATCCAGGCCTGAGATGATAGTATTTATGGTCTCCAGAAGGCTGTGAATGGAAAATAAACTGTCTCTCTGTGCCACCTGTGGCTACGTACAGCTCAGGAGGGGAAGATCTGGCCTCTCCAGAAGGATTCCAGATATAGTTTGCTCAAAAGCTACTCTCTTCACAAGCTTAGGAAGAGAGATGTGGCCTTGTCCCTTCAGGTGGGCTCTGTCTGGTATTTCGTAGGATGAGGAGATGGTCTCCACTGTCCATGCAATGACAGGAAATCACTGAGCATGCACCATGCTGCTTCAGGGCCTTTTTGATCACTGTCTGCTCCTCGGCATACACAAAATAGTGATGCCCCAGGCAGGCAGACAAGACAGAAGTCTGACAAATCTGCAAAGCTTTTATCAGCTTTCCCTTCTAACTGTCATTCCCCAGACTACTTGAGCTGCTGAAGGCTACAGATACAAAGCACCTGCTTGGGCCAGAAGTCCTTCAATAGAAGTAAAAAGGAAAGGAGAGACCGAGGGTTTGCATCTCGGAAAAAGTCGCAGAGATCTGGAGTTGAAGGTCCTGCATCCAAGGAGGCTGGCAGTGTCATTAAAAACACAACACACACTTGTTCAGGCAGTTATTTCTCCACAAATGCAAAGGCAGCTGCTGGAACCATCCTGCAGTGGGAAATGGGCGCAGGTGCTGCCTAAGACACTTGGAAACTTCAGCTGAACTGGTGCACGGAGGCTGGGGAGAGAAAACAGGCCACCACGTTCTGAAGACATCTACCACGGCACTTAGAAGCAGACGATCAGACTTAGTGCCATCTGGCAAATTTGATTAACAATGGCTCTGTTGGGCTCCTTCTGAGGGCATCCACTTGGCAAGTTTTAACTTGGATCTTGTCTTTCCCCACTGGCTGAACTACATGACCACCTGTTTCATTTTCTCTAAAACTTCACTTACTAGAATCAATGGATTTTACCTCCTGGGCTCAAAGTGTGTTAAGGAGCTGATAAAATGAAGTGGGTCAAGAAATTTTAAATTCTTTGAAGCTCAAAAAATATTAAAGCTGGCTGCTGTGTGGATGTCAATGGTCCAGCTACGTGGAAGGCTGAGGCAGGAAAAGCACTTGAGGCTGAAGCTAAAAGCTGGCTCGAGGAGCAGAGTGAGGCCTCATCTCAAACAAACAAAACAAAGGCCAAACATAATCTTAGAAAAATCGAAACATATACAGAATCTCTGTCAGTGAAATTGTAACATAACCTCCCCCAAGTTTATTTTATCAGAGCAAACATATTTCTAAAAGATAAAAAGGGAGAGAAAGTATTGGAACTAGAAGTAGAGAGACTACAGTATCTTTAACACGTGTCTAAATTGTAAAACCATGGATTCAAATGAAAAATACCTACTATCTAAGTCTACTTGTCAAATTGTATTAAAACCCTGGAAGAGTGTAGTCAAATCATTGTTATTCTTAACTTGGTCCAGGGACACCTTGCTCATTTCCGTTCCTCCAATGGTTCACATAACATCAATGACTTCATTATGCACATGAACAAGAGATACCCTTTCCTCCTTTTTCTCACCCCCATGCATCCTACTACAGCCCTGTTGACTCAGTCTTCTATGTGGACACTGAAACATCCTCTGCTTCCCCTCCTGACATTTACTGATTTAGTCTGAGACCCCATAGTCACAGCACCATGGTGAGTCATGTTTATGTATTCAAGATGTGCATCATTTTCCAGGGTCCCTTTTAGGCTCGAGGACACTGAGCTAAGAGACAGTCCCTAGTGTCATGGAGCTTATGTTTAGTGGGAAAAGCATTTAATAATAATGCAACTAAATGAATCCATATCGTGGTATTTTAGGAAAAGTGAACAGAGTGATATAAGACTGAGGACCAGGGATCTGCATACAAGTGTGGCTACAGATGAGCACACAGAAGCTGAGGCCTGAAGGAGGAGAGGCATCCAGCATGCTGGGAAGAGGGAAGAGTCGGTGCCAGTGTCAGAGAGGCACAATGAAGAATGAGCCTGCAGTGTCATGAGGGAGAGATGGAAATACAAGGCAAAGTTGTGCAGACCAAATAATGAAAGCCTGTTGGTTTGCAGAAAGTGTTGGAACCTTTCATGAGTGCAGTGGTACTCAATGACACATTTTAAAAGATCACGCTGACTATTTTATGATCATAAGGAAAGGAAAGTAAAGAGCTTAGTACGGAAGCCACTGCAATAGTGTAAATAAGAGATCCCAGTGCTTTGGTGAGGACGATGGAAGAGGTGGAGAGAAATGGATAGATTTAGGGTGCTTTATGGACATGGACCAGGCTTGATGGATTGATGTGGAGGCTTGAAGAAAAAAAGGATGTCCACGGGGAGTAGCTTGCACAAGTAATTGGATGAATAGTAGTAATATTTACTATGCTGAGTGTGAAAAGTCTGAGACTATCAAATGAAGGTTGAAAAGACTTTTAGATATAGCTGAATATGGGCCAGGGAGACGTCTGAACTGTAGATATAAAATTGAGAGACATCATTCTGATTCTGTTTAAAGTAATGAGGACAGGTGTTTTACCTGCCATAAAAGTGGAGGATGTAACCAGAGAAGGAAAGGGCAGAAAAAGAGCTAAAGAGGAGGCCCAGGGCTGGCTGGCTTTTATACTCTACCAGTGAGTGTAAAATGAGGCCTGGCCAGTGATGGAGGCCAGTGACATTGCCAGCCCTGACCATGGCTACCCTTGCCTAAAACACTTTAATGTTCCTATTGGCCTGCTGCCCTCCAAGAAATGCTAACCCCTTAGTAGAGTTTATAAGCTCCTCGATGATGTAGCCCTAAACTAACTTTCCAAGTTCAAATGCCTACTTTATCATAGTACTTTAAAATTGTGTTGATTGTCTGAGCTCATATCTGCTTCTGGTGTTAGAGGTAACTTAAGAGAAAGGTTGTGTCATTATGTGTTTGGCACATAGTGGGTGCTTGTTGGGAAAGAGAGGGAGGAACAGATTCTTTTAGTGAGATCCTGCTGTCAAAGAAGAGTTCACGGCAGTTAGTATCTGTCATCTTCCCTGGCATTTTTGGAGACTGCAGAATCTGGGAAGAAATTAAACAGCCCCATCTAGAGGTAGAAGGATACCAGAAGGGACCTATTCTGAAGGGTGTGTGTGTGTGTGTGTGTCCATGCGCGTGCATGCACGTGTATGTTTCCCCCAGAAATATAACTATATGTATAGTTAAATAATATATATTATACTATATAGTTATATAACATATATTATACTATATATAACTATATAAATAGTTATATAATATAAATATAACAGGCAAAGCTATGAGTAACCCAAACCAAAGTAATCATTTTAAGAAGCCAACAGATAATGACAATATCTAGAATTCAGTTCACAATAAAAAGTGTTTCCCAAATGGTTTATGGGAAAATCAAAAGAAAAAGCCACTGAGTCACCTGATGTCTAAACTTGTATGGCATAAACTTCTATACCCCCCTTACAATCAGGCCCCAACTTTTTCACTTCATTCAATTACAGCTTGTGAACTCACTAGGAAGCTCTCGCTTTCACAGTACTGCATGTCAGTGATGAACAGACACTTCTGTGCTGGGGGACATCAGCCGCTCCCATCCCTGCCCTTTCAGGAGAAACAGCACCAAAGAGAAAAGGGAAAGGCTGTGGCTGAGTGTGTGCACAAACACTGCACTAATGGTGATGGATGTTTTGAGAAGCCGACTCCTCAACCGTCTGAACTTCGCAAGGCCCAAGTGTGGCACAGCTGCACCAACAGCTCTGCTGACTGACTATGAGCTGGCAGCCAGAATTGCTGTGTGCTATTGTCTGAGTGGTTTTCTTTTGCAATTCAACAAAGAATGGAGAAAATGATGGGATGTGGGCTGCAATTTAAGCACAGTACTTGTGTCTATGTGAAATATCACTGCAGAAGATATTTTTATGTTCCTGCTTTTATTTTAGGCTCATTGTTTTAGGAATCACATTGAGGTTAGCCATGGAGCACCTATTCCACTTTTGTACTGACAAAAGACCAACCTGTGTTGCATTCCATGGGACCCACATAGAAAGGACAGAGGAACACGACTGAAAAGACTGAATGCCATCCTAGCTGCATGGCCTCAGGCAAGCACTGCATTTTATAAATAGCGAAATGGGGAGTTTTTGCTGTATTCCTCTCAGAGAACCGATGTGAAGGACAAACAAAATAATGCACACGAAAGCATCTTCTATTTTAAGCAGCATTTTATTCAGGTAAATTTACAAGCAATGAAATTTGCAGAGCTCAAGTGTACAATTCACCGAATTGTGGCAAATGCGTATACTTGTATCATTCACACCCCAATCAAGACCCCGAATATCCCACCACCCAGAAAGTGACCCAGGGCCTCTTCCCCTGGCATGGTGATGCACACCTGTAGCACCACAGCCCTGCTTCAGGTACAACACATCTTTGGCTTTTCTCACCATAGCTGATTTTCTACCTGTTTTAGAAGTTCAAATTCACAGCCTAACATAGTTCACATTCTTAGGTATTTGCTTTCTTTCATTCAGCTTGTGTGTATACTTCTCAGTAGTCTGTAACTTTTTGTTGAATACATTCCATTATTTTTCCAACTTCCATCTTATAGACGTCTTTGATGGGTTTTGACAAATATGTAAACCTTATTATTACAATGATAAGCAAGGTGTGCATTCCCATCCCCACACATAAAATTCCCACTGATCTGTTCTCCCAGCTATGACTCTGGGCACCACTTCATCACGACAGTGTTGCCATCCTAGAATTTACTATAAACAGAATCATACACTATAGTCTTTTGTATCTCCTTTTATTGTACTTAACAGCTCTGCACTCATCCAGGTTTCACGAGCAGTGTTTCAGTGAAAGAACATACCATCCGTTCATCCACTAAGTGTTGGCACACAGGCCAGCAGACTGAGGAGACAAGACCAGCCCTGGTTGTGGGTGGCAGCACCAATAGGCTGTGCCTAGATTGCATGAAAAGGGGAGAAAGAAAGTAGTCAGCCTGCAAGCACGAAGCCCAGTTCCGGATGAGCATGTAAGTCTTTCGCTGTTGCCATCAACTGGGAACATCGGATCCAAGACGACCAGTGACTCTCCCGGGAGCTTCCAGTCCAGGCCCTGAGTCCCTCTTGTTCAGTTCTCTTGTTCTGAGGCTTCCAGCTTCTTGGATGGAGCACCAGTAAACCCTGTGACTCTCAGGATGAGACAGCACTGGGGACCATCCAGAGTAGCCTCTGATTCTATAATTATTTCTCCCTTAAATATCTGATATACTCCAGAATTAAAGCCATTTGGGTATGAAGTTTCTGGACAAGTTTTAATTACAGATTAAAAAATTTAGATGTAGAACTTTTCAGTTTATTTAGTTTTAAACGTGCTTTCTTAGTTTGCATTTTTTAAGAAATTTCTCATTTCACTTAAGTTATCAAATGCACTGGAAGAAATTGTTCTTAAGGGTTTTTTTCAAAAATGGCGGCTTGCTAGGGGATTGGGCGGAGAGTCTCTCCGGAGAAATCATATTAGATACCAGAATATGACAACATGGAGAGGGCCAGATGAATGGATAACGATTCTTATTAACCAAGACAGCGCAGCTGGAGGATTTAAAGTCATGCTGAGACTGCGAAGGCTGATAACAGGAGGCTGCAAATCCTGCGCCTTTAATGCGGCAAACTGACCTGTGGACCCAACAGGAAAAGCTGTGTTGGCTTTTGGTGACTGCTGGAAATTGAGACCTGGGACCCTGCAAAGCAGCCAGGACTGCTCCGCTGCACCAGAGGAGATTGTGAAAGCTCTGGAGCTCAGAAGCCGAACATTGTGCAGTTTTCTGACCATTCCACGCTGTGCCGGGAACACAGTGAAGGCAAGCGCTGTAGTGTGCAGTAGACTCAAGAGGAAGACCTGCACCGAGGGACTGGGTCTCGCGGTCGCTGCGCTTGGCCAGAGAACATCTTGGAATTGGGCAGAGCCTGCCACCACGGCAACATCAATAACACAGAGAGTCTGGTGGAAGACATCTTAGAGTTGGGCAAAACCTGCAGCTAGGTGACATCACTGAGTCGCCCCTGGTATAGAGAGGTCTGGTGGAGGACATCTTAAAGTTGGGCAGAGCCTGGCACCATGTTGGCTTCAGCATCATACAGAGAACTAGTGGAAGACATCTTGGAATTGGGCAGACCACTGTCCTGGTGCTCCCGGCACAGAGAGGTCTGGAAGAGAACAGCTGGGATTGGGGCAAAGCCATGGTGACATTAGTCAGCTGCTTCTGGCACAGAGAGAACTGGCAGGATCTGCTGGGGCTGAACCAAGCCTCTGCTTGGGGCCCAATAAGCAGATACAAAATAGTTGCAACTCTGTAACACCCAGAAAGTACAGGCTAATTTATGATTGACTGGCACAGAGGCTGGAGGCTAGCCTGCACCATCCCTGCATCCCTGTCTACCCCAGATAACAGAAAATTGGGGAAGACAGCAAAAACTCAAATCAGCATGCTTCTGAAAGGCCATAAGCAATATGGAGAGGGCCAGAGACCCCCAGGACACTCCAGTCTGAAAGAAACCAGAAACATGACAAGAGATAAAAATTAAAAAAAAAATCTCCAGCTGCCCAACATGAGAAAATAAGCCCAGGAGAAGTAAACACCAAAGGGAACAAGCACAGTAACCATCCAATACTGGACACAGCATCAGCCGAAATTAAAAAATACCTCCATGACCTCATAGATGAATTTAAAGCTGTACTCCTGATCCAAGTGAGGCAAGATATAAAGAGATTAATTAAAGAAATAACAAGCCCCGCCCAAGAGAACACAGATGGAAGAACTGAGGAAATCAGAAAAGAAAGAGAAACTTCTGAAGAATTTAAACATAACTTAGAATACATGAAACATCCAAAGAGATTACCAGAAAACTAAAAACTCCATTGAACACTGGCAAAATGCCCTGACAGAAACTAAAGACAGCCTTCTGAAACTTGAGGAGAGATTTGTGGCATATGATCATGAAAGAAAAAGCCTCTTAAAAATAACAAGGAACCAGAAAGAAACAATTCAAAGGCTAGAAGATGACAAAAGGATACATAACTTAAGAATAAAGAATGTGAGTGAGGAAGCAGAAGCATCCAAAAATGAAATACAAAGAATATTCACAGATATATTAAAGCAAAATTTCCCATGTGTAGCAAAAAGAAATGAGATCCAGATAAAAGAGGCATACAGAACACCAGCTACCTGCAACCAAAACAGATCTACGCCTAGACATATAATAATCAAGATTCCAGAAATCCACCAAAAGAATAGAATATTAAAAGCAGCCAGAGAAAAGAAGCAGATCACCTACAATGGGAAAATTATCAAAATAACAACAGACTTATCAACACAAACTCTTAAGTCAAGAAGGGAATGGGGAGAAATATTCCAAGGCTTGAAAGAAAATAATATGCAAACAAGACTCACATACCCGTCAAAACTCTCTCTCAAAATTAATGGAGAAATAAGATGCTTCCAAGACAAGGAGGAACTGTGGGAGTTCGTGGCCACCAATCCAACCCTACAGAGAGTGCTGAAGGACATTCCAGAGAAAGAGGAAGGGATACCAGGATTCCAGCAACAGTGGCAGAGAGGCCTCAATGAATGGGGCAGACAGTGGAATGAGGGAATAAGGTGGACAAATTATAGCAGAAAAGTGGAGTAGCAGACATGAGGCAGAGACGGTAGTATAGACAACTCTGAAACACTATAAAAAACAGCAGAGGTCATTGTTAATAGTGTATCAGGATTTAAAAGACACAGTAGTCTTATCGCCATATTTAGTTTGAATTTAATTTGTTCTGGTCTGTCCATTCATGTCAGATTTGAGGGCACAGACATCTGACCCCAAAATAGCAGGTTATACCATGGTAACTATCCTTACTTTCCTATTAACTTAAACTGAAATCCTGTATTACTTACATTGTTTTACTATGACTGATCTTAATTGAATCTGATTCATAAGACCACAGGTTTGCCTTGGCTGATTTTATTTGAATTTGGTATGCTTGTTAGTATCAACCCTAAAAGTAGAGGCAACTACTCTGAAGATGACAAAGATGTAAAGGATATCCAGACTGGTATTAATTATTAACAGCTCTCAAATCCTACAATGCTTTCAAAGTTGTGTTTTTATAAAAATAGGTAATACTATGTTTAACTATATTAAGCCAATGATGTGGACAAATCTATTGAAAATAACAAGAGAAAACATAGTAACTACGGAAGATCACCTATATTGTGGTCTTATATGTCTTATCCATTGCATGTTTTTCTAGGAATTTGTTTTGCTGTCTTGTTACAACTTGGTTTTCCCTATAATACAGAGAGGATATATATGTAGAAATTCACACATGAGATTTTCTTAAAAAATTATTTACAGGAACAGATTATATAATGCAAGATGTAATAAACAGATACTCTGAAGAAGAGACACTAAGAAACCCAATGCTAATTTTGTAGCATTATGATATAAATTCTAGCAATACTATTATTCACTGATCAGAATGATATTAGTCTAGTCTCTTAAGTTCAATTTCAGTATATGTAAAGATGGGGACGGCTACCACGAAGAGAATGAGAGATGCGATAGTAGGTATTATTGTCTTCCCCAATATTAGATCTTGAAGACCTAAAAAGCCTTCATCATCTTGTAATGATTTGATTATTTCTTTTTTTTTTTTTTTTTTGGTCTTTTTCGTTTTTATCGGTACCAGGGATCGAACTCACGACTGCCTGCTTGCAAGACAGGCGCTTATGCTGCTGAGCTAAATCCCCAGCCCCCTATTTGATTAGTCCTATAATATGCAATATCTATATAATGTAGGTGAAGATGGGGACAACTATTTGTAAGAAACTAGAGGCAGTTAGATAGACAGTCAAGATCTCCAGTGGACTTGCTTTGAAATCTGTATTTCTTTAAATTGTTTTTTAAACTGTTTTGTTCTGTTTTGATATGTTTAATCTTACCCTCTTTGAGATGTAAAACAAGTGTGTAGGACTGATAACCATATTACGGAGTTTTTGTTCGATTATTGAGCAGAACTGTTTGCAGTGTCACTTTTTGAATGTCATTTTAAATACTTTAATTTTGTAACCTGAACAGCTATTTCTAAGATGACAATATGTAACGTATCAACCAGTGATTTCTTACCATTTATTTTTCTGTAATTTTGTATTATTTCTACCCTTTTTTATCTCCATGTATTTTTTTGTTTCCTTTTCTTTAAATAAAAAATTTTTTTAAAAAAAGGAATTGTTCTTAAGATAACTTGGCTGTTCTTTTTTATTTTATTGAAAAAGATACAACAGAATTTCATAACAGAATAATAGGAAAATAACAATAGTTAATATATTACATTTTGTCATCTTAAGTAGTTAGAGTATAAGACATGGGCATAAAATTTCTCCAATCGATATTAGCTTAGCACAAACCTTCCTTTTCAAATGAACTAAGAGACAGTAATAGTATAGATACCTTGTATTTTTCTGCTTTTTTCTTTCCCTTCCCTCCTTTCTGGTTCCTTTTTCTTTTTCAACAATATCTACTATACATTTTTCCATTTCACAATATCTACTATACATATTAGATCTTATTTACTTTTTCAATTTCTTGCACCAGGGAGACAACACGATGTTTACACACGAGTCTAATTTACTTCACTTATGAATATGGTCTCTAGTTGCATCTGTTTATCTATAAAAGCCTCACGTTTAAGCTTCCTTATGGCTGAGTAGTACTCCATTGTATAAAATACCACATCTATCTTTTTTATCCATTCCTAGGTTGATGGCATTTGGGTTGTTTCCAAGATTTAGCTATTACAAATTATGCTGCTATAAACAGTGGTGCACATATATTGCTGTGGTTAGATGTTTTTAATTCTTCTGGGAAGATACCCCGGAAAATAGCTGGATCAAATGAGACCTCTAATCCTAGCTTTTTGAAGTATCTCCATTCTGGTTTCCACAGTGGTTTCACCACGCTGCACTCACACCAGCAGTGGAGAAGGTTCCTTTTCCTCTATAGCCCTGCTGGCATTTGTTATCAGTTGATTTCTTGATATAGTCATTTTTCCTGGAGTGAGGTGGAATCTCAGTGTTGTTTTCATTTGCATCTCCCAAATGACCAGTGATGTTGAATATTTTTCTTGCATTTACATGCCATTTGTGTTTCTTCATCTGAGAAGTGTGTATTTCTCTGAAGCCCATTTTTCGGTTGTCTTTGAATTTGTGGGGGGAGCCTCTGAATTTTTTCAATTCTTCATATGTTCTAGATATAGATCCTTTGTCTGAGGGACAGTTGGCTAAAATTTTTCCCCACTCTGTGGATTGTCTTTGCACTCTATTGGAGATTTCTTTTGCTATGCAAAAGATTTTCAATAAGATCCCAGTTGTTGATTCTTTGAAACATTTCCCATGAAGTTCAAGTTTTGTTCATAAACTTTCTGCCTACACGTATGTCTTCAAGATTTCTACCTACTTTCTTTTCCAATAGATTCAGTGTTTCTGTTTTAATATTTAGATCTTTGACCCATTTTGACTTTAATGCATGATGATAGACATGGGTCTAGTTTTAGTTTTTGCCATTTATTAATGAGGCTGTCTTTCTTCCACTGAGCATGTTTGGCCCCTTTGTCAAAGATAAAGCAGCTGAGTGTGTTTGTAGCTGTCTTCATCTTCTAATTTGTTCCACTGATCCTCAGGTCTGTTTTTTGCTGGGACCCTGCTGATTTTTATCACAGTAGCTTTGTAGTATAATTTCATGTCAAGGATTGGGACGCCTCTTGTCTTGCCTTTGCTATTCTAGGTTTATTCTGTTTCCAGGTGAATTTTAGGAATGTTTTCTGTAAGGCATGTTAATTGTATTTTGATTGGGATTGCATTAAATCTGTGTAACAGTTTTGGGAGTATGACCATTTTCACAATATTGGTTCTTCCTGTCCATGAGCAAGGAATATCTTCCCATTTTCTGATTTTCATCTTTTTTTCAGAGTACCATATTTTTCAAAGTACAGGTCTTTTATGTCATTTGTTGGATTTACTCCTAGGTTTTTCAGTTTGGGGAAGCTATTGTGAAGAATGTTGTTTCCCTAATTTCTCTCTCAGTGAGTTTGTTGTTTGTATACAGGAACGCTTTTGATTTTTGACTCTGTATCCAGCTATGCTACTGAATTTGGTTAGTAAACTTAGAAATCTTTTTCTGGGGTTTTTGGGGTCTTCTATGTAGAGTATCATGTCATCTGCGAATTCCTGGTTATTCTTTTAATGTCTGTGAAATCTGTAGTGATGCCCCTTCTTCATTTTAGATATTGGTAATTTGTGTCTTCTTTCCTTTCACCATTTCAGGTTATCAATTTTATCAATTTCTTTAGAGACTCTGCTGTTAGTTTCATTGAATTTTCTTTATTGATCTTCTGTATTACTGATTTATACTTGTATCCTTATTATTTTCTTTCTTCTGTTATTTAGGGTTTAATTTTTCTCTTCTTTCTGCAATTTGTAAAGTGAAGAATAAGATTGTGAGAATTTTTTGTTTTCACATATGAGCATTCCATGAAATACCTTTCCCTAAACACTACTTTAATAATGTCTCATGAATTTTAACACATACATTTTCATTTCCTATTAGTTCAAAGTATTTTCTAATTTCCTTTGACAATTTCCTTTGACCTGAGTTATTTAGGAATGTGTTAACTGCCAACAATTTAGGGATATTTTCTCCCAGCCAGTTTATTATTTCTGTTGTCCAAAGAACATTCTCTGTAAAGTTTAGTTATTTAAAGTTTACTACAACTAATTTTATGGCTCAGCATATGGTCCATCTTGGTGAATGCTTTATGCACACTTAAAGAAAATGTGTATTCTAGTTTTGTTGGCTGGAATGTTTTAGAAATATTAATTATGTCATGTGAATTGATAATCTTCCATAGCCTTTTGATTATTTTCCACTTGATACATTGTTATCAATTGTATAATTGTACATTTTCCTATTTCTCCTCTCAGTTCTATCAGATATTGCCTTATATGTTTTTATTGTTAGTTGGTCAGTGTGCGTTTAGGATTGTTTATTCTCTTCATAAATTCACCCCTTTACCACTATGAAATGCCCCTCTTTATCTTGGATAATGTTCTGGTTTTGAAGTATATATTGTCTATTTTTACACTCACTCCAGCTTCCTTTTAATTAGTGTTTGTACAGGATATCTTTTTTAATCTTTATACTTTTAACCTATCTGTGTCTTATATATAAAAAGTGGTTTTCTTGTATATGGCATACAGTTGGGGCTGACTTGTTTATTCATTTTTAAAATCTATGTATCTTAATTGAGTAGTTTAGGCATGTACATTGTATTTAATTCTTCTGAGTTTAAGTTTACTTGCTCTAGTTTCTGTCTCTGTTGGGAGCCACCACATTGCCGAGCCGCCGCATATAGCGATCATGCGGCCTGTGGTAAAGAGCAAAGCCTGAGTTAGATTACCCCTCCCATCGAGCACGTTAGTTTCCTGCTTACCGCATAAACAACCCGCTCAATAATATGTTAGCCAATCAGCTTGCCTTGCTTACTTTAATATGATTGGACACTGTATCCGTATATATACTGGTGCCACCCCTGGGGGGAAGTAGAAGCCCGGAAGGAGCCGCGGAGAGCGGACCGGTAGAGGCTTCGGAGCGAAGCCCGGAAGGAGCCGCGGAGAGCAGACCGGTAGAGGCTTCGGAGCGAAGCACGGAAGGAGCCGCGGGGAGCGGACCAGAGGAGGCTTCGGCTGGGAGCGATCCCAGGGCAGGCTGTACGGAGAGAAAATAAAAGAAAAGGTTGTCCACTGCCAGACTTTGTCGTGTGTCCTTCCTGCCGGCCGGGAGCGACATCGACATTTGGTGACCCGCACGGGGACTGATCAACCCCGAGACACGGCGGTGGTGTGCAACGCTCCAGCGTGGTGCTGCCGGACAGGTGAGTTGGGGATAAGCCTGGGCTCTGGGTGGCGCGCACCTACAGGGCTTTTAGACTCCCCTCAGGCTCACGCGTAGGTGACGGGTTCTTTAAGTCACACGCGGTGAGTAACAGCCCTTAGAGGTTGAGGATGGGTAATTTACCGAGCGCGGAGGCGCGGCCCTTGGTAAAGGCCCTTAGAAAGCTTTTAAAAGCTAGAGACCTCAGGGTAGGTCAAAAAACACTGAAACTATTCATAGCAGAGGTAGATAGGGTGGCTCCCTGGTTTTTACCCACAGGGCATTTAAACCTGCCGTCATGGGAGAAGTTAGGCGGGGACCTCGCCTCGGCGGAATTGGGAGGCGATATTTCGCCGGCTATTCGCCCCCTGTGGGAAATGATACATGCGTGCCTTGACTCCTATGCCGAGTTGCGCCGCAAATTGTGTGCGTGCGCCGCTCGAAAAAAGCAGAGAGAGGAAAAAGGACCCCCGAGAGCCCTCTGGCGGGGAGGAGATAGAGAGCCATCCGCTCCGCCCTGGAGCTCTTCTCCAGAAGCGGCTCCCTGCCGAGAGGCCGCTACAGGGAACCCTCCCTTCTCTCAGCCGGCACAGGAAGTGACGCCCCGTTCCACTCTGTCGCGATCGCCGTCCTACGTTGCGCCGCGGGGCGGACGGTATTTTCATGGGCGGCTACTCTGCCGAGCAGGCTGAGAAAAACGCCGGTCGAGGAAACAGGGGCTGGGGATTTAGCTCAGCGGCATAAGCGCCTGCCTTGTAAGCAGGCAATCGCGAGTTCGATCCCTGGTACCGATAAAAAAAAAAAAAAAAAAAAAAAAAAAAAAAAAAAAACGAAAAAGACCAAAAATAAAAAAAATAAAAAATAAAAAACAAAAAGGGGGAGTAAGCCAAGGCCTGCCTCCAAAGGCGTGGTTATCTATGGCATGACAATGGATGGGCCCGGATCCGGTGGTTAGCTGGAACCGAGGCGCAGTTTGTGTTTTTCTGCAGGAATCGGGACGAAAACCACTGTGGGTCCCAGAGAGGTTGACGCGACAAGTCCCTCGACTAAAGATCAGGCCTGTTCCACCAGAGGCCAACCGCAGACCCAACAACAAGATGAGCCCTAAAAAAACTGCAGGACAATCCCTTTTTGGGGAGCCTGGAATGGCTTGCTCCCCTATGTTTTACCATTCTTAGGTCCCCTGTGCTCCTTGCTTCTGTTCTTACTTGTAGGACCATTCTTGCTCCGATGGGTCACATCATTTATTAATGGGCGCCTTGCGGCGGCCCGGCGTCAAGTACGCCTGGTTGCCCATGCAGCCCTGGCAGCAGCCCGTGATGGGCACAATGACCCCCAGGCCTACGCATGGCTCGCTCTGGCCTACGACCGGGTCTAGGTGTGGCGGGTCTTCCGCATTCCTTCCCTAATGACACCACACAGCAGGGTAGGTGAGTCAATGACGGGTAAGAGCGTGCCTCCCCAGCACGACTCGACCTAAGCCAGGCCCTACCCCATGGCGCACGAAAGCCGCTGGATTACTAGAATCTGACCAGATCTAGATGCCTCTCCGAGGGGATCACACGGAGGGGCATGAGTGCATGCCTATGTGCATCCAGGTTCCGTCCAGTTCACTCCTGGCCCTGGAAAAAGGACGAGGGTCTCAAGGCCTTGGCGGACCCGGGGGCGGCCGACCAGGGTCCAAGCCAAGGGCCTACGGTGGGCCTCAACACAGGGCATAAGCCTCTGCACTCGATCCAGGGCGGGCTGCGATGCATACATTCATTCAAAGTAAATAAAATAGGGGGAGATGTTGGGAGCCGCGGCCGACACCGGTCGCCTTACTTGGCGGACGTAGGGCCTGTGGGTGGGAGCGGAGCCTGAGCTAGATTGCCCCTCCCATCGAGTGAGCCAAGTTGTCGCCTGCTTCCTGCCCCCTGATTGCCCTGGCGACGTAAGCAGCCCGCGCAATAGAATAGTCTGCCTAGCAACAACTGATGTTAGCCAATCAGCCCGCATCGCGCGCTTTGAACTGATTGGCCACTGTTACCCTATAAAAGTAAATGCCTCTCCCGCCACGAGAGAGAAGCACAGAGAGGAAGCACAGAGAGAGATAGAGAAAGTCCACCGGCGAGAAAGGGCTGGTGGCAGAGAGGAGGCCTCGCGGGGCCCACGCGGAGACAAATAAAGGCAAGGTTGCACACCGCCAGACTTTGTCGTGTGTCTTTCCTGCCGGCCGGGAGCGACCCCGACATGTCTCAGCTGTTCTTGTTCCATTTTAGATTATTTCTATCATTATTGTGAGTTAATAACTTTTGTAGTTAAATTTTTTTCCAAAATTGGATTACTTTTCTTGTTTTTAAAGAGTTGTTCCAGTGTGTCTTAGCTTTCCTCATTGCAGAGACAAAATAACCAACATCCAAAGTTAAAGGGGAAAAGGTTTATTTAGCTCACAGTTTGTAGAGGTTTCAGTTCATAGTTGGCTGGCTCTGCAGTACGGAGGAGCATCGTAGAGGAGAAACAGTTTGTAATAGTCAGCAAAGCAGCAGCAGCTGGCCTGTCTTCTTTGTGTCCCTTTAAACCCACATAGGCTACCGCCCTTTGTGTGGTGCCACCTTGATTCAGGGAGGGCCTTCCCATTCTCCACACCCAGAACTGTGCCAAACCAATCAGTGGGCTAATTTAGTAATCACACATCCTTAGCCCCAGCATCACACATCCTAGATCCAGCCACCTTTGAAAAGTCCCACCTATGACCACACGAGGCTTTGAAGGGACATTTATACTCAAGCCATAGAACAGTGTTTAAAATATTCATCTTTAATTTTTCACGATCTACCTCACTTCTTTATTTGTAGTATATGAACCATCATACTTCCACTTAGCCCATCTTTCCTTTTTTATTATTGTCATACATTTTACAGCTACATATTTGTAAATTTCATGATGTACTTTTATTTTTGTTTTGAGCAGTAAATAGCCTATATAAAAGTTTTAAAAGAGTCTATGTTTTATAATTACCTACATATTTTCCATCTTCAGCATTCTACTTCCTGTTATGGATCCAAATTTTCAATTGTTACTGCTTTTTTTTTTTTTTTTTTTTTTTTTTTTTGCTTAAAGGACTTCATTTAAGATTTCTTAAATGTTGAGGAGTTGCCATCATCTGGACAAAATGACTTATTTTGATTTTCTTCTGTCTTTAAAATTTGGGTAAAAGCAACATGAGATCTACTGTCTTATTTAAGTCTGAGTGTACAGTATACTGTCGTGAGTGACAGGCACAATGTTGGGTAACACACAGCTGAAATATCAGCCCATTGAACAGCAACTCCTTTCTACCTCCCCTCAGCCTTCAGAACCACCGTTCTACTCTCTGCTTCTAGGTGTTTGACCATTTTGTACCTCATATGTGTGTTACCATGTAGTATTTTTAAAATGAATTACAGTTCTTTCTTTTTTTAATAGTAATAGGTATCACAGTATATTTTATCTTTACAATAGTTGTTCTTTCAATCATGTATATCAAAATAAAATGAAATACAGAACATTATAGAACTTATCAAAACAGAATATTGAATAGAGCAGCACCATTAATCAGAACAGAGCAAAACAGTAATAAAAATATTTGCCTTCAAAGAGATGGTAGAAGGAAATCCCCCTTATTTGCTATGGTCAACCTCCCAGGAGATGCTCAGATTTCTGGTTCCCATTTGCTAATGGAGGGACAGGAGAAGTGGGGTAAGGAACTGGGATGCTTGACTATAAGCTGTGCACCAGTAGGTTCACTATTGCTTAGCAGGGAGGCAGGCTGGTTGCTTGGTTTCCCAGCATCCTAAGTTCCAACATGGCGTAGATCTCAGAAGACACTGGTGGTTCCCCCTTTGGAAGGGCCGTAGTCTGCCACACTGCAGCCACTTACCAAGGAGGGGAGCTGCTTACTTGGTTTCCCAGGGCCCTAAGTTCCAACATGGCGTGGATCTCAGGAACCGCTGGTGGTTTTCCCCCTGGAAGTGCCACAGTGTGGCAACACCGCCACCACTTACGAGGGAGGCGAGCTGCTTGCTTGGTTTCCCAGCCTACAGTTCATTTCACTTCAAGCTTCCATCATGTTGTCACATATGACAAGATTTCCTCCTTTTTAAGGGTGAATAATATTCCACCACACACACAACAAAACCAACAACAACACACTGCATACATGCACACATACCAACACATGTGCACCAACATTTTTACAGATCTACTCGTCTGCGAATGAATGTGGTTGTTTCTATATTTTGGCTATTGTGACTAGTGCTGCAATGAATGTAAGAATGCTAATATCTCTTTGAGATTCTGATTTCAGTTCTTTTGAAAATATTCAGAAATTGTATTGCTATATAATGTTTCTATTTTTAATTTTTGAGGAATTTCTACACTGTTTTCCACAGCAGCTATTTTCTATTCTCATCAAGAGTGTACAAAGATTCCAATGTCTCCACATCTTCACTAACATCCTTTTAAAAAATAATATCCTAACAAGGGTAAATCTGAATATGGTTTTTATTTTTCTTCCCTAATGTAGCTGTGTTGCACATCTTTTCACATACTTATTGGCAATTTGTATCTTTCTGGAGAATTGTCTGTTCAGTTCCTTTGTCCAGTTTACATTAGGTTAATATTCGCATATTAACCCCAGTATATGACTTGCAGATATTCTCTCCCATTCCATATTTTGCCCTTTCACTTTGTTATTGTGCAGAAGCTTCTTAGTCTTTTGTAGTCCCATTTGTCTATAATTTATTTTGTTTGTGTTTTTGGAAGTAGATTCTTCAAGAAATCATCTTCAAGATCAGTGACATGAGGCTTGTACT